TCAGATATAAAATATAATCCATTTGACTCTACTCTTTCTGTTTGACCTTTTGACAATCAAAATTAAACCCACTAATATCTACATTGCATTTCCTGTTCTCTGTGCCCTCTTTCTACCTCTAAATCCTCAGAATTTTCAGTTAAAATTTTCTTTCACAGCTATCAGTGGATTTGGCTATTTTAAGTATTGAGGAAATGTTCACCACAACATATGCTTACTTTAGAATGGCCAATAAATGATGGGTCTAACCCCATTTACATTATGAAATAAAAATAAGCTCATTTTCCCATTTGTTCCCATTTTGAACCTCTGCCCACTATCATCACCATTGGCATAAGAGATCTTAATAGCATACCTTTGTCTCTGCAAAGAAAAGATTCAATTTTGTATAATAACCAATGTATATTGGTTTAAATGAGAGTTATTGGACAGAATCTATTAGACCAATATCTGTATTTGAACTTATATTACATATTTTTAATTTGATAGTCAACCTAGAATTCAATGTAGAACCTTCTATATAACGTTCCATTCAATCCTTACCTTAGGTCAGATAAGCCATTCCTTGCGTGAGTCTCAACAAAATTTTACACATATATTGGAGCTACATGGCTGGCATAAAAACAGACAGTTACTTCAAAACCACAAAGAAGTAGGAGCCCAAAGAATTCCTTTCTGCAATTCAATAAACAAGAGGAAAGATGTACTGTTTGCTGGCTCAAAATAGACACTAATTTTACATCTGTCTCTGAGGCACAGCAAAAAGCCAACTAAAGAGCAGTAATAAATGTCCAAAAACAGCATCAGTATCCAAAACTCTCACAGTAATCTTCAGAGGAATTAATTACAATTCTGTGTAACAGTTGCATTGGCAAAATGCACCCATAATTATATACAGGTACTGTACTGTATTACAGGGAAATTTGCCATGTGATACCATGTTTACATGATAATTGATGGATAAGATAAAACTATTTGCATATGAAGTGCATATGAATTATTGGCATGGCTCACCATTTTATGTGGTATCATATTAAAGTTTCATTTTCTCTAAAACTGTATCTGTAATATGGGGTTACCAAAGGGTATAAAGCTGATACTTAAATTTGCTTTATAGCAAATGGGCCTGGGAAAATATATCTGAATATGCATTACTAAAAACCTATATTTAAAAGGCTTCATAGTTTATCTACAATAAGCATTATTTTCACTTCACCAGATTGCATTATATTAAATCGTCTCTATTTTTCCTCAGAAGTAAACAATACCCTAAATTGTATCAGTCTACCAATTAATCTTAAAATCATGTGCAAAACAAATAATGGTTTCTCTTTATTGCCTACAGATACAGCTATATTCAGATTTTTGTATTCTCGTGACATGTAATAGAAGAGTAGCAAAATGTGACATTTTTATAATGTCCATACCTGCTGGAAAATTTCAGCATTTGCAAAAATGGCCTATCATAGCATTTAAACATTGCTGATAATTAGCTTGACATTTGAAATACCAGAACTATTGTTTTGAAGATACCCCATACAATGTTACCTAACTAACCCCTTTTCATACTTATATGCTTTCTCTACATTATTCTATCAGTTACAGGACAAATAAGTCATCAGTTGCTAATACATTAACATGCAAAAGAACTGATGTTAAGGGGTAATACTTCATCTGCACCAGAAACAAAAGTTGTATTGATATAAAGGAAAATTGCATATGCAGATTATAGACAGATAATTGTTAATAAGGCAGTCAATAATGATTTCCTATAACACCACTCAAGTTAAGTGTGCCAATAAGTCTTTCAGTACCATCATCAAAAATTTATTAAATACCTACAATATGGTAAGTCCAGCAGATACAAGGGTGTGATATTCTCATATCAAGAAGTTCACAATCTATTTGGAGAAACAGAATCATAGAATTGTAGAGTCAGAGTGACATTTTAAGTCAACCCTTGGCATGTTACAAATGAGATAATACAAGCACAGTGAGGCCAACTTACTTGATTAAGGCTAAACTGCCAGTTGGTGGCAAAGCCAGGGCCCCAAAGCATGTCTTTGGGTATACAATAGTCATACACACAAATGATATATATAATAATACAGATTCTCAATGAAAAGTGCAATATGAATTTAAAGTCCATGTGATCAGAGTTAGGAAATGGAAATCATGGGAACATTTTGGGATATTCATGCAGCAAAGTGGAGTCTGTTGCTTACTTTCAATTGTTTTGATGATTATTACTTTCATGAATCTCCTTAATTTGAGTCATAGAAGCCTACCAATTTGATCAATTACCAGAATCTAACAATACACCCATGTTTCCTGTGATAGTTTGGAAACAATGGAAATGAAGAGCCAGTTCACAGAACTGCAGGCTTGAAGACCTTTCTTCTTGTCCTAGAACCAACATGTAAACAGCTGTGACCTTGGCCTATCATCCAAGAAAATTTGGTACAAATGGGTAAAAATAATAGTGATAATGATAATTATA